AGAAAAATATTTTTTGTGCGCTGCTCAAAAACGAGTGAAACGAATTGGATGAGATTTGACGAAAGTGCATTTCAGAGGATAAGAAATCAAAGAAACATAATAGTTATTTATTAAACAAGGGGAAAAAGTAGTAGATTTAAGCTCCAGGTTGTGAAATTTCAAGTTTTTGACAGTAGGGACACCTTCGTTGTAGGCATCTTCATCATTCTTTTGAAGTAATCAAATATCTGATGTCACTTTTGTCAGTCTAATTCTGTGATTTGATTTCAAGAAATTGCGAATTTAGTGGTTGTTTAGTATTAGTAATATACGTAACCGCGAAGTCGAATGGAAGATGAAAGGACTTGCAGTTCTTTCTCGGAGACGATATTATGACTCATTTTTCGGAAATATAGCACAACAAAAGCCATCAACAGTGTATACAGTATGGTGGAAATTTATGGAATACATTCATTATCTCTAACGCAAATGAATTTGAAAGAAATCCTGAGACAGGTCGATTTTATTTTCAAATTGACACCTCTTGATGTACATACGGAGTTTGTAACGTCATCCGCGTAGTTGTGGTGACGTCATCGATTATTTTTTTGAATTGAAACATCATTGTTGATTGCAAGTTGATTTATTATATCGAGTTCTTCATTGGTATATTTTGTTCGGCTCAATTTATTGTATGGGTATTCCACTTGAAGAAGCTATTTGTTTGTTTGTGAAGTTTTCAACATCAACTAGAAAAAGGAGAATCCATTAACATAAGTATGTTTCCTCTATGATATAAATCTGTTGCATGCTATATAGTTAGTAGTATTCTTCAGTCAATATAACAACTATAGTCAATAAGCTCATGAGCGAAACAATATAGGATAATGTCTTGTATTGAACGTTCAAAACTTTCAAGTGTGTTTCTTGAATAAAGCATCCACAATCTATAAAAACCTATGACGCAAGAATTAATTCAATGAATATCTGGTCGATGGTCCCCTTCCATCTATCTTCTCCTGTAGCATACACGAGAATGTGATTTCCATCAAAACCCTATGGCACTAATGCCCTTTGGCACCCTTTTGCGCAATATGTTCAGACTTCAAGTCCAATATCCAATATGGATCTGTTTGATATTCTGTTGAGGCATAAACGACACGTTTTATAAAACGTTTGCATACGTTTGAGGCGCGAAACCGATAATCAGATTATATCTCGCCTCGGTTTGATGCAATTTTCGATATGTCCAATCAATCAGTTATTGAATAAAAGTTGGCACGGAAAATAAACACAAACACACACACGCGCATTGATGGAAAGATAATAGACATTGATGGAAAATGATTATTTTCCGAACAAAGGATTATTCGGATATATTGCTTCGGGGTAGATACTATAGTATAGCGAGCAGCGTGGAAAAAACATTTTCGATTTGGTAATTAGATATCACTTTTGTTCTGTGTTTGTGTGTTACGTCACTCTCTACAATTCATGAAGCTTTGATATTTTCTTGCGCAGCATAGTTTGATTAAAACTTTGATGGTATGAGGAAATTTGAATTTAGTCTTATGAAAAAATTGGTTACACGAGGCAAAAACCGATTGGAGATTTTGGATAAAAATCAGTTGACAGAGGTTGAAAAAATATATAGGGTTCTGACAAAATATTCAACGAGTATATCATTGGGTAATAAGAAGATTCATGTTGAAATCATATACGGCTATGATATTGCATATGGAAATTGAACAATGAATCCTATATAAGTAACAATCACTAGTTTTCCATGTTTTTTCATCAGATGGAGAGTTATCTGATTAACCTGAGACAACGATTCAACGTTATACGTATCGATGCATATATTTCGGGAGTATGCAATTCAATGTTCTGCGTGGTCCTAATGAGCAATTTATCTCTACCTCAAACTTCACCTCAGACTTGAGTCTATGCTTTCAGCCCAACTATATTATTGAAACTTGAAATTTACGAATAACTCATTCCGGATACCTGAAGATAATAACTTCTTGATATTTGCTTTTTTTCTCATATCCCAGAAATTTCAATATTATACAACGGAACCCACGAACTCTCAGGAGATTGACGAATCAGATGTGGATAAGTTTTATTGTAGTTTTTTCTTAACCCAACATCAATTTCACTTTGTGAGAATGAACAACTCGCTCAATTCACATTGGGAATATATTATACGTAACTCAGTGATCATTGGGCCAACAATGAATGAACAATAAAAAAAAGTACTGCTTCGCGAATATATATACCTAGGCGTTAACTCGTTCAACGGTTCTATTTAGTGATTTATATTGGAAAATGTTAAGGCAAATGGAAGTGGTCCCGTGTATCACTGTTTACGAGGAAATGATAACGAAAAGGAAATAATCATGAGACCATAGACTTGAGACGCACCACGTATGGTCTTTCTTCGAACGTTGTGAACATCGAGATGATATTCTATTGTATTCAATCAAATAACGGAAAAAAACTGTAAATACTGTAAACAATAGATTATTCGACTTCCGATGTGATTTGTTTTCCGCAAGCAAGTAATGAAATAGGTACATATCGATTGGTGTTAATATTGGCCGAAAGGATTTCGGTAGATATTTCTCTGAAAAATATTCGTCGTGCTATCTTCGAACATTATTGTGGGGCATCAGTTCGGTTCATAACTTTTGGGACTCCTACCATTTTTGTATTCATTCCACACCATATTGAATTTATTAATGCATACTGATGGGCGAAAACTACATCGTCAATACAATTGAATCATTCATGGCTATTAATAGCAACAGACACATCTATAAATGAAATACATGATGTATACGTAGATGTAGGATACTTTTTTACTCGATGTTAGTATAGTTCATGCAAAGTCAGTTGGAACACACATCCCCGCCATCCGTCGGTGCCTTTGAAAGTTCAAAGAGTGCGGCCCGACATTCGTTTGATGATCTGTTCAACTGATTTTACATAATCTTCACTGTAGCTTGGAAGAACAAGGAGCTAATGGCCACATTGTGCAAAATCGAGTTATTCGGCCCAATATACTTTAAATCGATCTACTTATATTCAATAAGGGATATAGAGGCAAATGTCTAATCTTTCCTATATAATTGAATGAGGGCCAATGTTGGACATTGGCTTCCTGAGTTTGTATTTGTTATCCTAATGTTGACCGGACATCTGAACACGTTTAATTCAACCTTGTTTTCCATGCGCCTACGAATGGGACTTCAAATTCAATATTAGTCTCAGACATCATTCGAAATCAAAGAACTTATATAGCTCATATGAGCATGACACAACTTAAATTCGAGAAAACACAACATATGGATATGGCCGAGACAACATATAAACTGAAAGCTGGGAATAAAGTAAGAAGCAAGCAGGATTCTTCATTTATTGTTTGTTCCTTTGACTTGGAAAAATACTTGTCTACTGTTTATTTCCGCAACAGTTATAACGTTCCACGAAATACAGATATGGACTTTTGCTTTGACAGCTTGTCATACAAATGTGAAGGAAGTATTGGGATTTGTTTTTGATGATTTCAAAAGCAGGCAGGGGAGATCAAGAAATTGCTTCGAGCATAAGGAAATTTGTTTCAGCATTTCCTGATTGCGTAAGGTTTCTGAATTTGTAAAGTGATTCTTGTTCAGGATAGAACGGAAACATCAACATGTGCACAATGTTTTGTGTCCCCATCAGTGAACTGAAAAGTCACGGTACCTTCAAGACACCTTCAAGAAATCAATCATTTCTCCATGGAACCTGGGCATTCTCGCATGGAAGCAGATACTATATACGCAGCTATATAGAGACTGCTAAAAAGGAGATGAATTCTGCAATAGAAGTTCCTCATGACTGTGCCGATTTCATTATAGATATACGATGAACTCCACCATTTAGTGAGTGTAAAACTTGTTCATCGAAATGAAAATGAAGATGAACAATGAATGACCATAAAATGGATGATATTCTGCCAGACAGATGAAATTCAAATCTTTTATAAAAATTCATTTGGTGTTGAAAATATAGACCTAAGAAATGGAAGTGCAAGAAAATGAGATGCAGGTTTGGCAATGGCAACTGAAGATTTGAAGTCACACAACATAGAAACCTTTCTTCTATAGCTGAACTCATAGTCATGAACTTATTGAAGCTTCTTCCATTCATAAAAAAATAGAACAGGCCGTACTATGAAAATCTCCAGGGATCTTCAAATCTGGAAGCTGACGATATCTTAGATCCAGAAGGTGACACCGATTCCACAGAATAAAAAATATGATATCTTTGTTCATTGTGAGGTATCAGATTATTCTGATTATGAGAATATTAACAATCTATTTTTTTTACTCAATAAAGTTTTTTTGCAACTGATTTCTTTCATTACATTGATAGGCCGATGTCATATCGACGAGATATTCCTCACAAATTGAAAGTTCATATCTTTTTACTCAATGGGAGCTAGAATTTACAGTCCTACCAGTAGGCGTTACTGAAACGTGAGGTCAATGTCGATATTCGAAAAAAAAAAAAAAATATCTTGAACAAATGGAAAACCTCAAGTCATGGAAAGACTTGAGCAGACTTTAGTTTTTTTACTCTCAATGTGGAACTTCACGACCAATTCTTACATTGACGGAGAATATATCGTAGGAAGAGGCCAAATGACAGAAAGAGAAGAAGTATATTCATCAGTTCTACCAACTCTGACCTTAAGTTTTAGTGGCGCGATCAGGTGAACAATAAATGATGTTAGCTCTTATTGAGAAATCATGCATCCCAATGAATGAATAATCAGACTGATGTTACATTATGTAGGTAGTTATTGACCAGGAGTGGAATTTTATAGTGAAAAAGTTTGTTGGACATTGGCCCTTCATCTTCCAGTAATGCTTCGAATTTTATATTCGTCAAAATAAAACTTCGGAGTAAATAGTATCTTCATGAAATAACACGAATACGGGTCATCGTTGCAGGTGGAAAACTGAATCACTCACCTCGAACTTCAAGGCCTGCTTCCACTCGTAACTCTTCTTGGCCAGAGCCACCCTGACCCACTCCGGCTTCTCCGAGATGGCGATGTGCAGGATGTAGCGGACGCCCAGCAGCACGTGCTCGAGCAACACGAACATCAGGATCCATTCTACCTCGCTGACGCCGGGGGCGCCCCGCCTCAGCTGAGGGCTGAGGTAAAGAATGCCGCAGTTGGTGAGGATCGAGAGGGCCCCGAGGACTTCGAAGGCACGCTGGAAATGGAAATTCCGGATTCAAAATGTCATTAACTCGTCAAGGGCTTGCATTTGTCAATGCTTTGCATGGAGTTATTAGGTGCGTTTTATTGGCAATATTCTTTTACCGGATCGACAGTTCCAGTCGTTTTATTGAACATTATTCTGAAACCAGTTCCAACTTTTCATTCGGCCTCATTAGACGGAATAACAGGAAGAAGATTATGGAAGAGGTGACAGAAATGGCGGTATATAGTATATATCAGGAAACGTGATATTCCAGAACAACGAAAACTATTCCAGATGTCTATGAATCTCAGACACTGTATTCGCAAGAACTCCTTATTTGTTTTAATGACACTTCAATTCGAGACTCTACATATTCGAATGCCATTCCAGAAAGATCGATAAAATATGGCGATTTTTAAGATGAGATTCCATAACATCAAATTTGTCCTCTCTCGAATAAAAATAATTGTATTGATTACCTATATTTTAGATAATCAGCATCAGTGGATTACCGAAGATAATGCACTAGATACACAACGCTTGTGTAAAAATTGGCAACGCTACGATGGGACGTAACAGACCGGCGGCAAATCGGCTGTGCTGATTCGTTGTACAAAAAATATTAATATCGGAGTTGTTGCAAGCAATACACGGCCTTATAGTGAATAGATGCGTACTGCGGATTACCCACCGATCTGTTACGTACCAGCAAGGTACCAACTGAGTGTTGCCCTATAACCCTTTCTTGCTATTTTATGGATGTTGTATAATAAATAGTTAGTTGCAAGACTAGTGTGTAGTTATGTTATAGGCACGGCAGCTCTGTTGTTTGGGAGCAGGCTGTGGATTCAAGAAGTTATGTATTTTTAGGGACATTTTGCCAGGCGCCACTCAGTTTTCAGTAGTAGGAAAACTAAGAAAATTTAAAATAGACGATAGAATTTGAAAATCTAATGAAACACCAAATAACTGTACCAGAGAAATATAATTCTTTAGATGTTTGAAGCAGGTTCATGTGACACACAATTTCAATTACCTATACCTTCAGTAACACCTTACTGTGCAGAAAAATGATTAAATCACTTCCTCAGTGTTGTATAAGTTGAATGCTTAAGCAGAACAAAAAAATGTAGATATCTCAAGATATTCCCCTTCTATATAGGCCTATATTTCCGGTTCACAGAATGACTGGACTCCCATTACGATTTGGTTAAGTGGTATTTCAAATATAAAATTAAAAACTGTTGTTACGAGTAGTAAGACTTGAATAGTGGTTCAACTTGGTGTTGCGCACTACTGGATCATCAGGAACAAAAGTGTAATCAAAATTGATCTGACCTTAGTGTCTGCGGAGCATGTGGTGCTGCTCTGTCCTTCACTGCCAGTGAACTCCAACTCCAAAATTCTAGCAGGTGCAGTTAAAAAAAAGGTTTCCTGGACTTCCTAGTCACCCTTCAACATCATGGACGGCACAACAAGGTGGGATCGAGAGAATAGCCCCAAAAATGAGAAGTGGCCCCAACAGCCACTATCTTGAAGTTGAGACTTTATAGTCACCTTGTGGCATCATGGATGGCTCAGGATGGGATCAAGAGGAAAGTTCCAAAATTAACAGGAGGCTACTAGCTACAGGCTAGCACGCTACGACGATGGCGTCCCACCAGGACATCCACCATGAACAGGCCAATAAATCTGTTGGAAATATACCAAATTGAAAACATTGAATAGGTTTATGGACTCTGAAAATTCTCACCTTCCGTCTGGAATGGCCGAAAATAAGAGTATCAAACCCCACAAAGGTTGGATGAAAAATGGCAAAATTCGTGCCCATCTTGCCTACTCTCGGTAGAGAAGATGGAAATCAAGAAATTTCAAGAGTTTCCTGCGCACTCAGAAAACGAAACCGTTTATAAAAACATGTTTCGAATTAGAAATAATTCACTGCGCAAATACAGTTGGAATCTTGACTAGTTGATAAATATTACAGAGAATATTAAAATACTTAGATTATTCAAGGAAAATGTCCTAATGGGCCTTTGCCCGTTTTTAAAGAATTGTGAAGTTAGGTCTGACACAGAACTATAGTAACATTGGTCTAACCAAAAATGTTGCCAGCAGGCCGAAAATAAAAGAAGAAGGTTATAAATTCACAAAGGCTATGGACGAAGCAAAATAACCTTATCCACCAATTGAACTGTCAGACTGAAACTGAAATATGAATATAAACAATTACAACTACTTCAAATATAACTTCCTGTGGATCCATAATTAAATTGAAAACAGCAAGGACATATTAGTTTCCAACAGGTTTGTCAAACTGTGCCTTTCAACTTTTATCCATTCAATCAGTCAACAGCAACTAGAAATGTAAATCGTTTATCGTTACAGCTAGGAAGAAGGACAGATCAACACCACTGCTATGGACACCTGAAAAATACAACCCTGAAACTAATAGACAGTCACACCAGGAAGACAAAGGAATCTTCAAGTTCAGCTTACAAGAGGTCCAACGCCAACAGGATATTCAATCCACCTGCCATAACAAAATGTAAAGTGTTGCAGTCACATAATCTATTGAGTATCTTACATCATAATATACTGGGTGTTACTCTTGGTTAACTTAATAACAAACCCATATAATAAAGGTAAAAAAGGAAAATCACATGTTACAGCCCATTCCTTAATTTACGATGTCTATTCATAGTTTATAGTAAATTGGAGCGCATCGAGCAACCAAGCAGGAATGTCCGCCATGTGCATGGACTTCAATGGGACCGACAGCATCCAGAGTATGTTCATTCCCTAGAGGTGCTACAATATTATTGTCTTTTCATCAGAATATGCTCGCCATTTAATAAAGTATGAGGGATTTTCAACTCCCAATAGAGTAAAGTGAATTTGTGTCAGTGATACTAACCTGCCAAGCACCTATATCCTTCACTCTCCTACTGAATGGCCTCTGGAACAGTCTACAGAGCTTGAATGCATCTCCTCGCATTTCAATAACATTATTGAAAACCGCCCAAAGGGCAGCTATGGGGTATACCGAGGAAAAGAGGAACACGTATCCAAACTGGATGAACAGTTCTAGGTAGTCGTCGTATGTGCCTTCGTAGGATTCCATTTTACCTTAATAATAATAAGAGAGTAAGCAACTGAAAGGTATGAGAGGAATACATTCATGTTGAGGATTACCAGGAATTGGGCATTTCATGAGAAAACGATAATATTTTCTATGTATCTCGGGTACCATATATGTATGGGATCTCTTCGGATTCGAACAAAGTTGTTTGTAAGAATTTCCAGGCTTACTGCAGAGGGATGTAGTCGTGAAGTATATGATATTTTTGTATTTAAACTCTATGGTTCTCAATCATCGAGCAAAAATCCAAGAAATCACATTTTTCCGAATGTTCAACAATAATTAAGGCCTTTTGAGCCAGTTCCATACTATTTTCAATATTGAACTAAGCATATTGCTCCTACAGGACTATATTGTTCTACGTTTGTAGAAAAATGTTGTTCGCAACTCGTACGCGAATTACTTTGGTCATCTCGACTATTTTTTAACGAGACGCAGTATAGTCGTATATAGTCTTCAGTTGGAAGCAACTTAAAATTATTTCAATGGAGGCACTATACACATGTGGTTTTTGAAATAACGGAATGGCACCCCATTTCTGGTATAAAGGAAAGTCTCTGGGGCTCCAATTTTCCAATTCGACTATCCAACGATATTCATGAATTTACCTGTACAGAAATATACAGTATTCGTTCAGTTGAATTTGAATCATGGATATATTCCGCATGATCGCTGCTTGCACATTACTGAATTAATTAATGTTGCGAAGACAGTAAAATCAAAATTTCTTTCAATACTCCGTGGATTAATTAATTTATCATTCACGCCAGGAGATGTACCCGATAAAGTCAAAATTGTCAAAGTCACACCAGTCCACAAAACTGGCCAGAGAGATAAAATGGAGAACTTCAGACCTATCTCAATATTACCAGTGATTCCTAAAATTGTGGATCAAATAATGAATTACCGATTGCAAGGATATTTAGAGGCAAGGCAATATCTTTTCAGCTATCAATATGGCTTTTGGGGGAGGGGTCATGTGATACGGAGTCCGCAGTTGGATGTTGTAACAGATTTCTAATAATTGCTACTAGATGCAAAAAGATATGTGGACTCTTATCAATTGCCTTGAGGAAGGCATTTGATACTGTGAATCATGAAATTCTCTTGAAAGAATTATATTGTATTGGTCTAAGAGGCCCTGTCTACCACTGGTTTCACAATTATTTGAGTGATAGGAAACAATTTGTATCTTTAAGGGCCGGTTGCATAAAGCATTCAACAGACGATTGAATAATTTGTTCGTATCCATATCCTTAGCTGATGAGTTAGGAGAGTTGATTCCTCGTTAAGTTAACAGAGAGCTTCATGCAACCAGCCCTAAGAGAATCATTCAGTATGAGCGATGAAATAGTATGCGGTGTACCGCAAGGATCAGTATTGGGTCTTATTTTATTTTTCATTTACATCAACTCTATTGCAGATTCGAAGTTGAAAGTTAAAATTCATATGTTTGTCGATGACATAACCTCAATCTATTCAACAGGTTCAGCACAACAAATTAGGGATGAAATTTCGAGTGATTTGAAAATATCATTATCATGGTTTTGAAAATATCATTATCATGGTTATCATGCAATGAATTGGGTATGAATTATAGTAAATCTCATGTTCATCTCAAGAAAATTGAGATATGATGAGTTGAAATTTTCAATCGCATGTAATAATGAAGTCATCAAATATTCAAAAAATATAAAGTTTCTTGGGCTATACATAGATGAAAGTTTGTCATGATCCAAACATATTGAAATACTCAGAAAGAAAAAAATTCCAATAATAGGTATACTTTTTTGGATACGAAGTGAGGTTCCTATAAAATTTCTCAAATCTAAATACTTCTCAATGATCTATTTCAAATTGAATATTTGATTTCTGTATAGGGAGCAAGAAAACTCAATTATGAAGCCTCTCAAACTCTTCGAGATGAAATTATCAAATTTATATACAGACTAAATTATTCGTAACCTACTAAGATCCTTCACAGAAGAAGATAGTTATTAGATATAGATTCACTATATGAATATATCATATATATCATTCATTCATTCTGTTAAATATTGCCGAAACCATTCAAGTTTGGTTTTCCAAACCAATAGAAGTCTTCACAACCATACAACTAGACAAGCAGATCATTTTTTTGTCAAGACAATTGAATCAGATATTGGTAAAAAGTCCATCCATCACAATGAAATGATACAATTGACTACCAAATAACATGAAGTTGATTAATAGGATCGAATAATTTACAAATGAATTCAAGAAACATCTACCCCTGTAATATTGACAATTTATCCCATTTTCATTGTTTTCTGGAACAATTACTAAAGTTTTCCATTGGGTACCCAACAAGTCAATCAAGAATAATTTTCAATTGAACTTAAAAAAAAAGATTTCTCCTTGAGTGCGAGTCTTATATTATTTTACTGTCTTTTTTATTTTGTCAAATATATTCATATATTCACCATGTTCCCTGCCAGAAACGAATGTTGTTTTCTTTAGAATAATGAAGTTGATTGATTGATTGCATATTCAACACTATGCCATAGATGTTAATTATTGTGATTATGGTTTTCGGAAATGACCACCGTGTATTCATCTCACAGATGAACAGAAATAATTGTTATTCGGAAGCGCATATGGATTCCTATATTAACGCAGTAGATACCACGGGCAAAGATAAGTGGAAAAAACCAATCAACCTGGGTCGGAAAAAATTATACGCTGATAATATATGACACCCTTTATAGTCTGAAAATGTTCATTCGTTCTAGACGGAGAATTATTGGATGGTTCTTCAGGACTCTCAATTTTCCAGATACAGAAGACTTCAGGCTACGAAACATTTGCTGTTGCTTCCATACTTTTTGGTCAGAATTGTCCTCAGTTTAATCGAAGTTTGATGCTATCAATCCATAGTGTTCAGAAAGTTCTAATGAACTCGAATTTGCATTCAAGTAGAGGTAACACTTATTATTAGAATATAAAATGGAAATAAATGATAAATAATATTATGTATTTCAAATGACCAGGAGATAGCTCTACTGAGAACTTATCAAATAGCAATAAAATTCGTGAATCATCAACTTTTTTTCATCATGTTGACGAGAGATAATTATTTCAATATGACTATAGTTCACCTTCAGCCATGGCTTGCTTTATCCTTGGATCATCCGGCAGGAGCTGTGGTATTTCTAAATCTTTCAACGGTGTATTATCTTCAGAACCTTTTTCCCGGAATATTCTTGGAGTATTTGGATTTGCTGGTTTATCAGCAATTTTGAACTGAAAACGAAAAATGTCTATATACAAGATCAGTGGTTATCGCATAGATTCGATGTAAAATTTGTTGAAGGTAACTCCATGTAAGAGGAATTTTTGGATGATCAGATACCTACATAGAAATACAGTTATATTTTCATCCATAACACATTTTACAAAAGCAATGCCAATAACGATTCGAGAAGAAGGAATTTGGACCTTGTTATATCTCATTCACATTCGTTCTTGAATCAAGTTTCTAGCTATCATAGAACTCGAGCAATCGAGCTCCGACGCACAAATGCCCCACCCTGTATAACTCCGCCAGAAAATATTCATGAACTCAAACTTAGAACCAATTTGAAATTGTGACAAATAATAAATATCAATCGACGAACGTTTCAAAAAGTTCTTCAAGAATTGTAAACTCGTCGTAACATACCCTACCCTATATACCCTAACTTTTTAATTCCTTGTCTGTTTTTATACATTATTCAATAGGTATATGATAATATGGACCTTGTTAAAATATTACCGCTGAGACTGAAACAATCTGTATTTCCTTTCGAACTTAATGATCGATTTTTTGCACCAGAGCGGGTTGCCTCGTTTGCCTAGTTACGGCCCTGTTAGAACTTAATCACCCTGTATATCGTTCATTTACCTTCATGACATAGTATTTGACGGCCAGCGGCTGGACGGTTTCCAGGAAATTATTGATGGCCTGCGAGATGATGAGCATTGTCTGCAGCTGACTTCGCAGCATCTCCATGTCTTGGACAATGAATGCTATGTAGAAGAGTGACAGGAAATTGTTGACGAATTCGAAGAGGACGAGTTTGGTCACCCGGTGGCGGTCGTATTGGGATTGAGTGCGGTGATTCTCTGAGAACAAATCGATAACGATCATTATAGATATTGGTGATAAAACAGGCTGCGTATCTAAATAACACCGAAAAAATTCGAGGGCTGTTTCCTTGTGACATTCTAGCAAATTAAGTTGATATGAACATATGTCCTAACTTGCTCCATTTTTGAGATACAGGATGTTGAAAGTGTTGAAAAGGAATATTCTCAGATAAATTATGAACATACAAAAATGGATATATATTTATATAAAGCAATACATTGGGAATTCGCATTCTCTATGTGATGAGAATATTTACTCTTTCTCAGTTGAACAACTACTTTCCTGGCTATATGACACGACGAACATTGAATTATATTTATTGAACACACACGATAAGAGTTTGAAAATAAAATATACAAACTTCTGAAATTGAGAATTTGCATTCTCCTTCAGACAAAAATATGTATATGCACACATCATTCTGAATATTCAACAGAAAACAACTACTTTCCTGGCTATTTGCCTCGTCGAACATTGAATTATATCTGATGATGAACATTCAAAAGAGGAACATGAAAAATGAAGAATAAAATCCTCCGAAATTGAGAATTGACATTCTTCTTCAAATCAGATGAATAATATGATGTATAATGATATAGAAATATAACTTACCAATATATTCAGCATTGAAATGGAAATTGGGATGTATAGGAGAAGTATACTGGCATGAACTCTGATCTTGATGAGCTTGAAAAATTCCAAAAATAATCATTCATATCAGTTATATGGAAAATATTATCTCTCACACTCAGGTTATATTACTTTATTGCAATATTCGACGAGGCAAATAGCCAGGAAAGTAGTTGTTTTCTGTTGAATTCAGAATGATGTGTGCATATACATATTTTTGTCTGAAGGAGAATGCAAATTCTCAATTTCAGAAGTTTTTATATTTTATTTCCAAACTCTTATCGTGTGTGTTCAATAGATATAATTCAATGTTCGTCGTGGCATATAGCCAGGAAAGTAGTTGTTTTCTATTGAATCAACTGAGAAAGAGTAAATATTCTCATCACATAGAGAATGCGAATTCTCAATGTAAAGCTTTATATAAATATATATCCATTTTTTTGTGTTCATAATCTATCTAAGAATATTCCTTTTCAACACTTTTATACCCAATCAGGGGGTTCAAACTTGAACGATGGAAACTTGTGATTTTTATAGACCTCTAATCGCAGATTCGTGATAGAGTCTCAATTCAGAATTTCTTTCCACGCCCTGTAAGATGAATGTCAATTTATCATACACCCAAAAGCAAAGGATGTTGAAGTTGAAAGTATTAAATGCTCTTATTTATAGCAACCCTGTATGAGCTTTCATGGTGTCAAAATTCAGTATAGATGGATACTAAGAAAGCCTCGAAATTTCGAAATGATTCTAACTGGGGTTATTAAATAATCTCAATGGAAGTTTTGGAAATACCTACATTGAAATTTGGAATCAAATCGAATTTTTATTGTTTCCTCAAAAGCTAAGCAGCTAAGCTAGATACAAAAATGATACAGAGGATGAAAAAGTTGTTATTCGAATAGTTCAATCTAATAAAAATATGGAAATCAGAAAAACCGGTGGTAAACAATGACATTCACCATGAATATCGATAAATGTGACCACTGTGACGCCACTGGAAATATTATTTCGAATCTAATTGCACTAGAAGAAGCTCCATATTACTATTAATGAAACAACAAAGTTCCATTGAAATTGATGGAAAGACAATTGAGAAATGAATAAAAAAAAGATTTTTCATGGAAATATTAATACCCTCTGTATCTCGAAAACGAAGCAAGTTGAGACACATGTTTATATGAACTTGATTTCCTAAAATATTTAGAAACACCCTGTATAAGGTGTTTGGGAAGAGAAAAGCATTTTCGAAATACAATGTACCCTTTCGAGCTTTCAAGGGTGTATCACGATTCATGAGTCACAAAAATCGTGGTAACTTGTAACACAACTGAAGAAACATGTATAATTTCTAGTGATAACAGAACAGAAAATAAAGGCACTTCACTGCCTCGTCGTGTGAGAGTCGAACTCAACATACTCAATAACGCTTTGCCAATAACTGGTCAGCTAAATTTCAAAAATGTATGAAGAAACAGTGACCAGTCAAACACCATTATGATAACATATCGTAAGTAACCTCCAAGAGCTCAAGTAAAATTCCAACACCTACTTCCTTTCATCATCCTCCCTAGGTACGCACGATGTTCTACGAACATTAGAGGAATTTCCTTTTGTGCCCTTCAAGAGATGCAAACAAAAATTAAAGCTATGCGGATCAATGCGATGGTATGTGGTTTCGTTCAAGTTTGGTCGTTGAGACAGTTGATATTTGGGTTATTGATCCATTTTTGAATTTCTAAAATTTTCAAGAGTTTTAGCCGTGGACCTTGTGGATATTCTCTATATTGGAGTTAACGTCACGAGAATGACTGGAAACAATAATATGATTTGCAAAAGAAGAGGTAGTGTTAAGATTATCTGAATTGATAAATTTGTGGATGAGTCTGTTATGGCCATTTCAAGATGAAACTCATTTGAGTGAATTTAAAAGTAAGTTCTCAATTTTGTGCCAATGTTGAACTTGCCGACCGTTGGGTTCTTTTGGCTGTTCAGTCTGTTCAAAAAGTCAAGTATCCCTTTACCAGACTGAATTCTGGGATTAAATGACTCTACGGCATTCTAAATTTTTTTTCATAATGTGATTGCCACATGAACTTACAGGTATCATTTCCTCCAAAAACTTATTGTTCCTCTGTGAATTGAATATTTTTTCAGGTACTGTGTACTGATGTGTGTGGCTTAGTCTTGTAATATCATTTTTGTGGTCGACCGATTTGGAGTATTTCTGTTTTTCTTTGGAAGTCATGTGTTTACATCCTCAAAATTCCGCAATTCCCGAGATCATTACATTCCAGGAATGAGTTGTATTCTCATTCAATTCTTCTTAGGGAATACCATCGTAGTAGGACCACAGGTTGGTACAAGTACTCAACGACCACCCTGTATACATAAAGATTATGTGAAAAATGTTGATAAAGAAGATGACGGAAAACCGTATAGTCTGGACTCTGGAGTAACAAAGGAAATTTGAAAACTGTACTGCCCCGTACGAGAGTTGAACTCACAATTCAGATAAAGGGAAACCACTCGATCAATCGGGAGGAAGGTCGAGATAACTTCATATCAGAAGGTCTGCTACACCAAACCATACATGAAGCATTACTGACAGAATTGATTGGGCGTGGAGTATACTCGGAAGAGATAATACTTCTGTTTCCTATGATTCATCCATTAGTTTTCTCACAAAATATAAAGATATGAACGTAGTGAAGATACTACTTCATGCTACCATTAAAGAATATTTCGAACCTCATCGCTGCACAACCCATACCAACATAACGAGAAATGATCCCTCTTTGGTAATCCAGGTTGTGATTGTTTGAAGCTATAATGTATTCTACCCTGAAACGCTAGGTATAGTTATAATCATCAACAGCATACCAATGGAAGAGTTTCAACTGAAAAAACTCCCTCAACTTCACATCAATTCATCCAATACTGCGACTGTGGAATATAATGTCACCATAAAATTTCGGTCTGCATAAATTATATTCATTTTGTATTAGTTCGGAGAGAGTTGTTTCCCTTCAAAAACATCCGTGTTCGTTCGAAAACGACTTAGAAAAACAAACGAATAGCAGGAGAGATAGGGGACATGGGAGATTTGACGAGAAACAAAAAGTAAAAACCGAAAACTTTTTGCATCCTATGCCTCACTTGCGCCAAGCTGCGATTAGAATAATAGATCTGTTCGTCTCAAATTCCTAGGTATCGCCTTGAGCCAATTTAGCTACTTCTGATATCATATACATCTACATCACTGTCGATCGCAAATAGATTCCAAATCAATTATAGAATCCATAATGCAAAGAAAAAATTCATGGCAACGTCACCAAGGAATTTTTTTTTCAAAATATGAAATATGAATCGTTCCGTATACTGGGAAAAATGTTTGGGGGCCGGCCCGTCTTTTTCTTATGTAGAAACGATACGAAATGAATATTTTATTTTAATTCCGAGATTTTGATGTTAGTTTGATAACCCTCTCTTCCATGTCAATAGGTGGAGTTCGACAACCAAAAAGATCTTGGGAATATGCCTCATTGTTTCAGGCTGAAGTACTCGCAATACTTGTAGACCAATCACTATATGCGCGGATAGCAAAGCTGCAATACTGGCTTTGCAATCCAATAGGATCACAGCCAATTTGGTGTATGAGTGCAGAAAGGCATTGGAAAACCTGTCAAAATCAAGAAAAGTCAGCCTCATGTGGGTCCCTGGACACTCGAGGATACCCGAAAATGAGGAGGCAGACAGACTGGCCAAGATCGATTCAGGATGGACCCCGGTCGGACTGGAACAAATCTTGGGAATACCAAACAGTCTGGCAATGTCCTCCATAGGGGGACAGCTGCAAAAGCAATTCCTCAAAATATGGCAGGACACACCAGGAATGAGACAATCGAAGCTCCACATGAAGGAGCCTTTCGAAGAGGCTCACAAAAGAGGTTTTATCCCTCAACAGGCAAGGTCCTGGGACGAAAGGGAGAGTGTTACGTTGAACCATAAACATTCAGTCCACTTGCACCACGGAATTATGGAATGAGCATAAAGAACATGACCAATTCGGTTCTGCAGATGACGTCGATATCATCCAGTGCGATATATTGATATAACTGACTGCACTTTCAACTGTTTATATCTCCAGCAAGCGCTTGTATTCAATTTGACACTGAGCTGATGAACGCAACTTTCATATTTTGCTCTTGGCTCACATATTTCCGTGAAGACATCTTTTGCAAGCCAGGTACACCGGTGAACTCATAGTAAGGAGAAATGATTCATGTTTAATAATATTCATCCCTTATGACAGTATACCTGTATTTTCTCGAGAACGAAGAATTTATATTTGGTCGGGTTAATCATGAGGAAATAAGCTTCAAGATTTTACAATTTGGAAAAGTTGCATACAAAGGAGGTTTGGCCAAATTCTACCCTCATCGTTTTGTGAAACACCCCTGAATAATATGATTGAACCATTTTTTTTTTTCTCCTACCTTAATGGCCATGGACATTAGTCCTTCAGCCACACACTATGATTGAATCATTGTTGATCTGTTGTATTGAACATAGAAGTTCAATCGTTGTGTTGGATTCCACTTCATTTCACCTGTACTATCATTAACTATTATCAGATGAATATATATACATATACTGCTTGTCAACTTGGTTTTGAGAAGCAGAAGCTACCTACCTGACAGACAGAAAACTAGATCTTGTACTTCTCCTGCGATTGAGTTCGGTGATTCTCTAAAAGCATTCGTGAAATATTCAAGGGTTTTATGAATTATACGCTGGTACGAATTTGGAGGCGAGTAAACTAAAACGTTCTCGAGGAAGAGAAAATGTGAAACATCCCAGTTTCCAATCTGAATTATTTATGAGCTTATTGGGTGCAATAAGCCTCGTTCATGGAGATTATGCAGGCGCGGTTTACTGCTGGTGTACTTCATTTCTGTTTGGAGTAACAAAAATGATAGCTCGGTTGAACGGTAACGAATAAATTACATGACATAGACTGGCTACATATAAATAATCGGAGATTGCTATAAATTATCGAAATCTTAAAAACCTATGGTTATTTTCATCCACAATAGCCGTCACTCCCTTCGCATATCCATACCCAGGCAAAGAAAATACATTTTTAAACGGTGTTTCGCTTATCGCATCGCCACCTGTGTCAACCTTACTGGAACCATCAATAACCTCTACAACGCATCATATCTCTCTTTCAAAAAGTATTTGATTAACTACCTCAAATAAGAGCATCACCTCCCTTCTTGATACTCTGCTCTTATTTCCTCCTCTCTCTCTTTCTCTCCCTCTCTCTCTCTCTCTCTCTCTCTCTCTCTCTCTCTCTCGCGCTCTCTCTCTCTCTCTTTCTCTCTCTTTCTCTCTCTTATCTTCTCTCTACATTCAGGTTCAAGTCAAGGGTTGAGTGGAAGAACAGGAGCCCATTACGGAGCATGATGAACTTCGCGTTATGAAAATTGTAATTGAATATATATTTTTTTGTAATATTAGCAATTTGCCCTTCTGCCAATTTTCGATTGTGATTATTATTTTTTTTATTATTAATAATAGAAACCTCCTGTGGAAAAACTACAAGTAGTCGGTTTCTCTACGGTTCTAAATGTTTTCGGAGGTGCTGAATCCAAATCTGAAGTTTGCAATCATAATTTCCTGAAGCGTTTCGAGATAATCGCAAAAAACTGCGAAATTTTCGTACTTATTTCAGTTTTATGTCCGTAACTCGAAACCTATAAATTTTATCAAGAAGGCCGTCTTATAGAATGTTGAGAACGATGGAATTCTCCATTTATAGGATATTTAGTAAACCATGGATATCTGGTGAAAAACAAGTCGTATGTTCTCTATTCGATGTCCTCATGTTAGTCATATCATAACCGGCAGCTATTCAATTCAGCTCCCAGGGAAATATCAGAGCTCTCATCCATATTGTTTTATTCAATATCAGAATTGTGTTGAACCGGGTTTCGAGAGTTATATGCCTGTTTCTCATCTCAAAAGAAATATACTACATTAAGCATCTCAATCAATATTATAGCGGAATACAAAAGGAGGATCAATCTGATTAGAGGGCATACGATATTCAGAATTTCCTCTGATTTTTCTGAGTATTCAACTTCGTTTATTCTTCAGCTGAAGCATGCGTTGCCAAAAGAACGAACTAAGTATATGATGGATGGTCTGTAAAATGCTTTATACAGGTGGTCCCAAATCTTCGACCAAGAACGAGTGAGAAATAAACCATTTTGATGATACAGGTGAGTCTAGACTTTGAAGTTGATACATTTCATTTCTTCGTGGTGCTAGTGACCTTGTGTTCGAAGGTTTGATTGCTTATACAATCACTATGCAGACCTACTTAAACAATCACTATGCAGACCTACTAATGTCACCAGCTTTGAAAACTACATATCCTCCCCACATTATAGAGATAGTGTTTGTTTGTTGTTTGTATTATCGTTGGTGTAACACTTCTACTGTCCGATAGTTATGGTATAGCGGAGACAGCTTCATCAAACTGGGATATCTCTTTGGTACCAAGAGAGATACCATTTCACTTAAGGTCTTCAATCAAGTCAGCTCAAAAACCCTTCACTCAAAATAACTGTTAGGTGTACCTATCAACTGCATTTGGCTAAATCATTGCATTTCTTTCTTACAAGAACAACTCTTTTAGGGCAACTGTGTCTTGAAACATTACCAGTGATTCATTTCCATTTTTTGGGGCGCACGACAGGAAATCCTTATGATGTTCGGAGAACATCATGCGTAGGTACTGTTTTAGGAAGAATTCCATAGCTTTGCCGTTCTATAAACAAACGAGTTCTGGTAAAGAGATTTTCGACATATCTCAAGGTTGATGACCCAAGGAAGTGCTGACTGGTAATACTAGTGATGGAATGATAGCAGAGGGTTTTGAAGAACATTTTCCGTGAAAGTATTTATAGAAAAGTAGAAGTTCGTCGCCATTTCCACGGTGTTTCAATGATGTCAATGATTCTTCTCTAGATGGATGTACTTCAGGTGAGAAACAATGAAAATTTGACTCTTTCCAACAATAGGATTGATTGATATTTGCCCCACAAAGATCTCAGTGTATAAAGAGTAATGGATTGAAAGAGCTATACCACGATGATACATCGATACTTACCCCATTCTGTGAGGTACGTTGCTAAGCTTCTGTAGTATATATTCATGATCAAAACAACAACGGAATAGATGATACTTGGTAGAGAAACGAACTGTATATATTCTTCATTTTGCTTCAGATAGTCTTCTACCCAAAAAGATACCATCATAATCACGAAGGCAAGTAGCATACAGATGAAGACTATTGGTAATGAAACTGCATACATCTGGAAGATAATGAATGATAATCTTGATTGATTGACCTGTTCTCAACCCATTTGTCATTCACTACATATATAATATCTAAATAATGTGAATCTACCCAAAACAGACAAAATACGGACAGTAATACATTATGTCTTCGCAATATTATAATGAATGACTATATATCATTCACTTTCGAACTCCAACAGATTGAAATGAGTTACTTTTATCGAAAGTAACTATAATCCCAACAACGAAATGGTGTGACGAATGTAATATCTATTTAAAACTAAGCAATTAAGATGTGCGATGAGGACCGATCATGGTGTTTGACGGTCAACAGATTGTCCAAATATCATCAATTTCGGAACAAACCAATTAATTTGTGTGATATCCAACCAGAGTTTGGTTTTAGTACCGCATGCGTCGTGAAAATCATCTGAATAGTCCAAGAGCTGGTTGCAAATTTCGACCCTCATCTGATAACGAAATGATATATGTCTCAGAGGCATGTGAGAACATTGTATTATATCGAGCGGCACCTGTGCCAATCACTATTCTGAGCAGAATGATTGAAACATTGCATTTTCCTGTGCGGGTTTTTTTATGTTCTGTTTCCCACGAAAACAGATATCCTGTAATGTTCAGAAAACACCGTGAGAAACAAGGAAAATAAGGTTGAAATTGGTGTTCTTCCTAAATTTCAGGAAGTTATAATATGCTTTGGGGAACACTTCCCTTGGCAATGTGTTCCAGAGCCTTTTTGTTCGTTGGATGAACGCGTCTTCAGAAAGAGATGTTCTGCAGGTCTCCAGAGATCACGAAGGAGTGCGAAGCCTCAACTCGACGGGTTGATCTTGCGGGGACAGCCAAGGAAGGAACAATTGTTGATATTTAAGAAGAGCATCGTCCATAGAGATTTCTATAAAATAGAGCCAGATCACCAACTTTTCTACGGTGTTCTAGAGAAGTGAGTAAGTTTGTGAGCGAGGCATCACCCACGAGACGAATTGTCCTTTTTTGGACAGAATTCAACAGTTTCAGGTTATGTTTGGGTGCCGCACTCCAAATAATATGGGTACAGTATTCCAGGACAGGTCGGATTTGTGACTTATAGATCATAAGCAGCTGACTGGAAATAAAATAGCTCCTGGCTCGAAACAGAAAACCAAATTTTTGGGATGCACTTTTATCAATTAATCTCAGGTGATTTTCCCAAGAGAAGTTATTGCTGATAGTGATAGTAAGTATCGAAATGGATGTCTTCAAGGGTATGGTTACTCCTGACAAGCTTATGTTGGGTACAGTGAGATCGGCTTCTCTGGAGAAAAGGCATGCCTGCCTGGTATTGGAGCCCTGGAAGAGAAGGCGGTATGGAGGGTACTATCATCCGCGAAGCTGTGTACTGGACATGAAGTTGCTTCCAACAAATCGTTTATATGGGGTAGGAATAGTGTTGGTGCTAGAATTGTTCCATGCGGAACACCAGCTTTTATGATAAGAGAGTCAGATGAATCTTCGTCGACCACTACATGGAGAGTCCTGTTTGAGAGAGAACTAGCTAGCAGAGAACATAGCTGGGGAGGCAAGCCATGAGATGGAAGCTTGGCGAGGAGTCCGTGGTGCCAGACTCGGTTGCATGCGTTGATGATATCAACTGCCGCGGCTAAGGTTTCACCATATGTTTCAATAGATAGCTGACATATATGTTCCAGGTATTTCATGAGGTATGATCTTTGCCTTTTTTTAGGAACTGGTTGTACTCTTGCAATTTTCCAGTTGGACGGGAATATCCCCAATTTGTAAGAGTAGTTCAACAACTTGCAGAAAACATGTGTTAGTTCAGGAGCACATTTCTTGAGAACAATCGGTGGGATTCCGTCGGAGCCACATGCTCTATTGTTATTTGATTGATAACAAAATAAGAATTATACTTTTTAACTGGTCGAACATGTTAGGTGTGAGTTTTTAATATAATTCGTCTGGATCTTGTGTTACCTTTACGTATGTCATATATCTTGGGCTTTGAGGTTGAATCTTTCCCGTGATAGCATCATAGCCCATGGCGCCTTTGAAATTCGGCCGAGGCTCATCCATGCTGGTCATTCCTATGGTTCCCCATTTGAACGCTAGTTCATTGCTGTTTCGTCTCCATATCTGAAAAGGGTGATTAACGTAACAAGTCCGGGAGAAACTGTTTCATTGGCCGAGTTAATTAGATGTTTAAACAATAAGATTTCAGAACGAGCCGGAGGTGAGTCCTGAAAGTCTGCAAGTCAAATAGTAATTTACGTAGCAAGTCCGGAAAATACCGTTTTGTTTTGACGAGTAAACAAAATTCAAGGCCGAGCCGTAGGCGAGTAATGAAAGTCTGCGAGTTCAAAAAAATTGTTTCAGGACGTGTTGTGTACACAATTTTTTGACAACCATATGTAAAATAACAATTCGATGAGACACATTTCCATATCATATTTTTTTGTGGAATACAATTTCTTTTTTATTGATTCTTATTTGTATCAAATACTGAAATTTGAACATAATACCTATACTAACTGCTGCATTGGAAACTTCGTATGGACATCATATGAATTTATCGAAACCTTATCCACCAAGATTTTCATAGTAACAGTGACAATAACGATGCGATAATGATAATAATAATAATAATAATTCATTGCTCTTGAATTACATGTTACAAAGATATAATAAATACATTGGTAATATACACAAGCCGATCACAGACGAACTAGACAAGCCCAGTCAGCACATCCTTTCGTTGTCAACCTCGAAAGATGTCGAACAGCACTTTATCAAGACTCCTTCATCCATAGAACGGCTAGGCTCTGGAATTCATTGCCTGTGGAAGTATTCCCAACAACATATTATAATCTCCGAAAGTTCAAAAAAAATTCCAATACCCACCTCCTGTCCCTATCCTCCCTAGGAACGCACGATGTTCTTTGAACATTATAGGGATTCCCTTCCGTGCGCTCCAAGCGATAAAAAAAATTCAGAAATAGGACAAAAAATGGATACATAATGAAACATTATATTATAGATTTTTTAACACGAATTCAATACACTTATATATGGAATAGTAAGTAAATTCAAGAAGCTGAAGTGAGTTTTACAAGAAGTGAGGTAACTCAACTCTTTGATTATACGAATAGCTCGCTTTTGAATTGTGAAAATATTCAAGGCTTAATTGCTTTCTTCTCAGAGAATGATGCCATCCATAACGTGCCCTTGAATAGAAGCTTGCATAGTAAAAGGTTTCAATAATGTTGATATTCGTGTTCCTCGACAGTATTCTGAGGCCAAAACAAGACCTGTCAAGTTCCTTACAGCCTAGTCCAGGAAGTACTCATTTGCTACTTCCTCAAAGAAAAAGATAAATAGATATTTGATCTGAATTCGCTCAGGAATGCATACTCTCTTGGAGCAACTTCAGACCCCAATTAATATAGGTACGCTAATCTAGTAGGTATTTCAGTGAGCAACGAACTTTCGCATACCGAAAGTCGGGAAAATTTTTGAAGGCTTAGGCTATACTATTGAAGAAAAAAGTCGTCCGTAAGTGGGTACTATCTGTTCAGTTATCGAAGAGAACAATCTCTAGGAATGGAAGCAATCGAAATCCTTCATACCTTATATTCATAAGGTATTTGATTTCTTGATCCACATAATCTCCAAATGATAACCCATAATATTTCAGAAGAATTGTTTTGGCTCTGCAATTCTTTTATTGTGAATCGCAAGATTCGAAAACTCAATTAAAAGTTGACAGTTCGAAACTAATATAACAATTTTCGAAACTATATATTATTGGAGAAAAGAGACTGGCGAAACAAAGTTCATGAAATGAATAATGCACACAACTTCGAGTATACAAGTTTTGTCTCTAGGTTTCAGCCACAAAGGGCATAATGGTAAACTTTCTGAAACTAAATATTGGCAGCCGCAAGCAGTAAGCTTGTACATACCATAGATCTAATTACACAATTAGATCTATGTACATACCGAATAATTTTGTAAGCTGAGAACTGAAAACGCAATGACGTAATTCCATCAAAGGTAACACAACAAGAGGGATGTATTTCCCTTTGTTGATATTTGGTTAATATTTATTGTATTCTCCATATAATGAAGTATAATAGACATAAGTGATATACAGGGTGAATCTGAATGATGGTTTTCAATCTCTATGTGCGGCATAATCTCCCAATGGTAACTAACATTTCTGAAGACTGAGACAGAACATTTTTACTAGGACAGACCCAGGATGGTCCCTGTAACTGGGATATTTTGGTATATTTCACATGGGGATGGTTTTGTACTGCAATTAGGTCAATAATTAATATCGTCCGATAATACAATGAATCGATTCAGCACATTCATTACCGAACAGGTAGAAGGTAATTAAGTTGAACAACTTCCTCATAGCTACTGTGGTGTATGCCACACCATTGTCGTTCTAGATGACAACCTAGTTAGGTAGTTAGTAGGAAGGAGCTTATCATACCTCCTTGCACCAGGTCGCCTACTAGGTTTTCATTAAGATGGACAATGGCCACACTGAATTATTGCTGATATATTGGGTGTAGAAAATGTGACGAGCTTAACTAATCTACCCTTATCCCGATAGCTACATTACATTATTGTTACAGCCTGTTTGATCGGAATTTCACATTACAAAATTGGACAAATATCTTCCGAAACAAAATTTTTTTGAATGAAATTATCATTTGATTCACAATTGTGACAAACATAGAATGGTCTAACGTTGTAATATTCTACATGTGAACACAGTTCACTAGATTCACTTTCCTCGTGGCGCACTATTGGAAATCTTTTTTCTTTCCTAAGACAACCATTGCTTTCTTATAAAGTATCGTATTCAAATAACTGATCCCTCTACCAATGCTCTTGTGATAAATGTTTGAAATATTCAATTAAATGGTTTTGCTCTTTCAGTAGGTGCTACCAAGAGACCCTTTTTGTGCGGCTTGACGTTATAAGTGTTGAAAATATTAAATATGGAGAGACATTATTCCCCTCGTCATTCCCTATTGTGGAAACAGTGAGGGTCATAGTTATATACCTATAATCGTGTAATTGAATCTAAGACTTCTCATATTTCAATAGCAATTTGAAATGGTGGAATAGGATCGTACAGTATAAAATAACCCTGGAGAGAATGTAACAACCAGCTTCAACGCCAATTTCAATTCTAGGATGAACTCTTGGCAGAATAGGTTGAAATGGTTAACTGTTTTCTTGAATACATAAAAATCAACCAAATCGTATTTGCATCAACAACCTCATATAATTGAGATTGATTGAACCATATTCGTAGAATATGATCTAAAAAATTTCGGTCAAACGTAAATATTCACCTACCGAAGTCTATTTCACCAAAAATCAGATGACTCATGAACTAAAGGGAACATGTAGCGGAAACTGCGATTTTATAGAATTTTTGATCACAGGAACACACTAATATAATATGATCTTTGCAAAACGCCCATGGTTCGCCTAACTGTATTTGCGTGCAGAAAAGTAACACTTTGCGCACTTGTTAGGAAAATAACTATATTTGACATGACAGTCACAACTGTTTTTTCCTTCTTTTCTTTTCGTGATTTGATGGGGATTTAGATTGTTTTCGATTAGAAGCTCAGAATTGGCGAAGACCCATGTGAAATGGAGAATGAAGTATTAAAAGTGTTATTGGAGTCCTTGTCTCCATAGTACCGAGAATAAAATATTGTATTATGTTGGGGACTAGACGAGATTGGTTGAAAATTCTCGAGAACCTATATACAATACATTGAATTAAATTGTGATGATATGGATGAAGTCATTAATACGAATTCTCTGTTGGTACTCAAGTTCTCTGAATGTTTGCACTTATTTCTTGAAATTCAAGATGGGAAAGAGAACAGTTTCTACCACTCGAAATTTCATAAATTTCTGTTGATGGTGTCAATAATGCAGCTATTCTTTTATTTTCATATTCTAGCCTAATTTCGATTAATTCATCCATATTTTGTCTTAGGCGAATGGCAAACAGCCTTTGAATCCAATAGGTCGCGTGCACGATGACCGACTCTGGAGGCAAAATATTGAAACACAACCTTATTCTTCTGTGAATTATTGAAACACAACCTCACTTTTTTACTTGGTTACAGAGGAATCAAAGGATTGAAATAGTTTTTCACAATATTTCGGCATACGAATCGTGTTTTTGCGCTATTCATTAATTCGAGCATGCCTTCGCATTGTGCTGTTGTACAATGCACAAAAAATGCAGCAAGAGACTGAAGATTATGATTTTTCAGGTGAATAGTAATCTCACATAGTTATCATTATAAAATGTTGTCATTCCTTATTAAAATTCCATCTGCCTTCTGTCACTTCTGCAATACAAGCTAATACTGCTACTAGATTGAAAATGTCTACAACACACACGATCGTCAGCATGTCAGACCAGTCCTCCCGATTGATTGCATAAATCTTGCATTATTTTAGAAATTTCAGATGTATTTCTATTAGCTCCTATCGCAGAAGGAATTCCGATGAGAAATCAGAGTAATTACCAAATCTCAAAAATGAAAACTATATGTGAGTAACTATAGTAGGTAATTACTTTCAAATCATATTGTACTAACCGGATTACTTCGTCTTCCGCTGCAGTTTTTGTGCATTTCACAACAGCATAATAATGTGATGGCATGAGCGAATTGATGAATAGCGGAAAAATACGATTCGTATGCCAAAATAATTGTGAAAAACTATTTCGATCACTTGTTAACGAATGAAAAAAGTGACGTTGTGTTTCAATGTTTTGCCTCCAGCGTCGGTCATCTGAAAGTTCTTGCACGCAACCCATATTTTGTTATTAGTTTTTTGAGGTTATGCTGTCGCTGTCATTTCAAAAGCCACCAAAATTCGTCCACCATCTCTGTACATCGGTGGAATGGTTTGCAATTTTGGTTGACACAACAGTTATAAATGAACGCGTGGTTTTGTCAAACTGGAATCCACCAAGGAATATATGAACGCAGTTGGTGGATTGATGGAGCCACCGGTGAATAAAAGAACGCTCCTTCTTTGAAGGGCAAACAATGAGATATTCGATCGAAGCACTCAACCTT